ATCCATCAGATCTTGGACCTTACGTTTTAATGCCCCACAATTCTCAGTGGTGTGCCCTGAGCTCCCAATATGATAGCTGCATACGACGTTAATATCATGACCTTCAGGATAAGGGACCTCTCTAGGTTTGGATTGAACTAGAGTTACAAGATTTTTCTCAACTAGCATTGGGAGTAACTCCTCATATGTCATTGGAATTGGACTGATGCAAATCTTTTCTTTCCTTGGTCTTCTCTGAGTTTGTTTAGAAGTACTAGACGGTACAACTGCAACAGTTTTTGGACTTGAGACCATAACACCTTTGTTGGCGTTGTAAGTATTGACATTGTTGATATCTCCCTCAATTTTTTTCCTTGTTTTATAGCTAGCTCGATCATCTCACCAGCCATAACTAGATCTGAGAAAGTTCCCGATGTAATTGCCACCAGGTGCCCGAAGTAAGGTGCCTTCAGGGTCTGTAAAAACAACTTTTTAGTTTCATTTTCATCCAAGGGTGGATGAACTTGGACAGACAAATCCCTCCAACGCTGTGCGTATTGTCCGAAACTTTCATTGTGCTTTTTCTCCAGGCTTTGTAGCATAACTCGGTCTGGTCTCATATCGTTGATATGCTTGTATTGTTCTAAGAAAGACTTGGCTAAGTCTTTCCATGTCTTGATATGAGTTCGGCTGAGCTGATTATACCAGCGGATAGCTGAACCGGATAGGCTATCCTGAAAGCAGTGGATCAGGAGTTGATCATTCCCTTCATATCCTGTCATCTTCCGACAGAACATAGTGATATGGGCTGATGGGCAGCTATTCCCATCGAACTTCTCAAACTCAAGAGCTTTAAACTTTGGTGGAAGCACCAAATCTGGAACCAGGCTTAGCTCCCTTGCGTCCACTCTATAATAATCATGGTCCCCTTGGACCATCTTCATTCGATCTTCTATCATCCTGATCTTCTCTTCCATCTTTTTCGGTTTGTCATCTTCATTAAAATCCGGGATACTATAATCATCCGGATGATTATCAGGATTAGTTTTGGAAGTTTGCACCTTTACAGCAGATGGTGCTTTTCCTTTGACAGTAGAAGAATTTTCTTGTGGTCTGGGTAAGATCTCGGGTGACATAATCACCTGTGAGGTTGGTGACATGGTTACCCCTTCGAAGGGACTTCCCCCCTTCTGCACTAACTTGCTGTAAACATGATAACTTGGCCACTATTTGGTCGACCAAGGATTCATGGTTTTTCTTGATGGATTCCAGAGTGCTCTGACTGTTTTGAGCCATCTTATCTTCCAGTTCTTTTTGTAGTCTTGCCATGTTCTCTCAAGTTTTTCCATTCTGGCCTCCATTTGTCTTTTCTTTGCTCGGGTATTATGCGGATGATGCGTATTAATGTCTGTAGTGGTAGACTTGGTGTTTTCTCTTTCGCTTTCTGAGACATGTTCTGTTTGTTAATACGAATGTAAAAACATGAAAAATATAGAAATAAATATGAGATATAGAATGCAAAATATGCAATGCATGATGTATGCAGCTTAGAGGCACTGATCCAGAAAAAGTGTTCATTATTATAAATAATCTTTATTCAGACAAAAATCTTATCTTGTAAGAGACATAAAAACAATCAAAGGTACACTCGGATTAAATCCTCTAAACCCCGAATAGCTTCTAGTAGATTGACAAGTCTTCTTCCTTTATCCGTTACTGGTTGAATACCTTGTCGAACCACTCCGGCTTCCCTTGCCAGGCCATGAAGATGACGGGCTGCCTTCTGTACTTGATCTAGGAAGTCTCGGATGGTTGCGTCTCTGGCCAGTGTACTCTTGAAAGGCTGACTTTTGGTGTGCTTAACGTAGACTCGCCCTAGTTTTATGTTTTCACAGTTTAGCAGTGTGGTGTATTCTTCGATAGTAGGTACCATGTCCTCCCAGTTAAAAGTGAAACAACTGTATTCCGGGTTCCAGAATTGGACCATGGCTCTAATCAAGGGCTCATCAATCCTAACGTGAAGTAAAAGTGCAATGTCACCGTACCGTTGGCTGACTTCTTTTCGATCATTCTTCCAACTGTCCCAGATATCTCGAAGTCCTGCACATTTTCTGGTTTAGGCTGATAGATGCGTAGCTAACCAGCTCTGACACATGCTTTCTTAAAGGTTGTCTCCCTTTTCTTTCTGAGTCTTCTCGACCATAGTAGTACCTCGGGGTTTTAGTCTCTTGTATTACAACACCTTTGTCCATTAATCAGATTATTATGTTTAACAAACACATTTTGGTGGATCAACACCTCTTTAAATGATGCAGGTGATGAAAACAAATAAAAGAGAACAAAAACAAAAAGAGTTAGTGAGGTAAATCAATAATAATAAAAATGAAAAATCCTACCCACATGATATTTACCCCTCATGCTTATTATTCCTACCCGGACATGATCTCTATCCCGTAAGTGGTTTTGAACAAGTCCTAACCGCATAAATTTCTAGTTCACATGCTTTGAACAGAAAGTAAAGCAGGAAATAATTTTGGATCCTAGGGTTTGAAAATGAGGTCTGGGGTGGGCCCTAACTCCTTGTAGTCTCCGGGTTAGGTTCTAAAAAAAAGGTACCCGAGTTCTCCTTGCTGGTGCCCCTTGGGTTACCAGACCCTTAGTCCTAAACCCATCACAGGCTTGTGTGGACTAAGTTAAACTCGAGAGGACATATTCCCTTATGCTCATACGGAGAATAAATTCACACGAAGGCATAAGGTATATGAATCCCGAAGGTTACTTGCTAGGCCCATACGATGAATAAAGGCGTCGCTTTCACCCCCACTTAAAACGGGTTCGGAGCTCAGGTATAGAGCCTTTAGATGAAAAAAAGAAAACTTTGAAGGCTGAAATCATGAAAAAACGATTAGTCCAACTATTTACTCGAAAATAATCAAAAGTAAGTAAAAAGGATCGAAATATTACCTTAAAATTTAAACTTACCCTTTCGTTAAAAAGACAATTGGAAATTACCTTAGCCTGACTCACTTACGTCCCCAGCGGAGTCGCCAAGCTGTCACAACCGTCTTTCGGTTGGGCCCCAGAATTGGGCTTCGACTTAGAAAAATGTGGATTGGAGTCGCCACCGACCATTTATTTAAAAATAAATGGGTTGATCCGATACCCTATTTCTTACCTAATCAGCGTCTTACCAGAAATATGTCGGGCTCGGGAGTCGGTTACGGTCAAGGAAGGATTAACACCCTTGAACCGCCCTTTCGGTACTACGTAATTTCCAGTTGTCTTAATTAAGAAAAATAACAAGTTAAATTAAAAGGTAAAGTTTTGATTCTAATTACTTACCCTTGATTGATTTGAAAATATCCTTTAAAAAGATCGAGAAATGTGTTAGATAAACAAGGTAAAGAAAACAAATAAGATACAAGGAAAAAATAAAATAAATAAGTAAGATAAGAAAAAAATAGTAAAGTAATATATATAGTAATATTTGAAAAAGGAAAAAAATATAAATATATATATATATATATCAAAGTATTAATAAATAAATAAGCTATATATACACCAAATACTTAAAACTAGAAAGCTACCCTCCCAATTCACCGAAAGTGGGGGCTTAGTAAGAAATAAGACAAAAAATGGACCCTCTAGGTTAGTAGTATATAATATAATGTTTAATAATAATAATGATAAGGACACAAGGTTTTTTAAAAAAAAATAATAATAATATATAATAATGAATAAAAAAATGAAAATAATAAAAAAATAATAAAATATAAATTATAAGATATATAATAAATAAAGAAATAATAAAATAAAATAATTAAGAATATATATATTTAATATATATAAATAAACTATTAAAATATAAAAAATATATAGTAAAAATAAAGATAATTACAATATATATAATATTATATAATAAAATATTAAAAAATAAATATATAAAAATAAATGAAAATAATTTAACATATATATATATATATAATAAACATATAATAATAATAACATGAATAATAAAAATCTCAAGAAAAATAACGTGCACATGCAAAAGAAAAAAAATGACCTTTTATTTCTTTTTCGAATCCTTACAATAGTTTTGCCTTTGTATCTTCCCGTGCTTTCCTATATGTTGTGTGTATCGTGTGTTACAATGGAGAGTTACAATGGCTATTTATAGTGCTTGTGGATCCTATCTTTAGGAATTTAAATCTTAGTAGAACTCTATCCTATTTTTAGGAGTTTGAATCCTAGCAAAATTTTATCCTATTTTTAAGAGTTTGAATCCTAGTAGGACGAAAATGTGTGTTGACAGGGTGAAAAATACCCGGCCCGACCAAAAAATATATAATTTTTTTTATATATTTAGGAATAATTACAATAATACCTATATATATATATATATATATATATATATATATATATTAAGTCACTGTTTTTATAGAATACAAATATTTTTATTATTATTTCGGGTCTGGTTTCAAAATTCATATATTCTGGTCGGGTCTCGGATGGAGGTTCCTTTATTCTCAGGTCGGGTCTCGGATGGAGGTTCCTTTGTTCTCGGGTCGGGTCGGGTGGACCAAAAACCCGACCCAACCCGACCCATGACCATCCCTAATTGGGATGATTTTAACTTATGATGTTTATTAGCATGATTTTTATAATTTATTGAAATGAATAATCAATCATAAATTAAATTTAATTTTTTTAAATTTTTATAATATATTGCTACATGTAATTTATAAAACAAACTAAAATTAAACAAAAAAAAAAACAAGAAGGGCAATTCTATCATTTTACATTACTGAAATCAAATTCATCTGACATGTCTGCGAACTAAACAAAATATGAAATTGGATTCCAATTCAATTTCCTGCAAACCAAACAGAATATGAAATTTGATTATAATTCATGACAGATTCCAATTCTTGACAGATTATAATTCCTTCACAGATTCCAATTTTATCATAAACATTCCACATAACCAAAGGTGACCTTATTAAATTTCATTTTCCTTCTTTCAATCAAACACCAACAAACCATTCCAATTACCTTTTATTATACTCTTTGCACTTGCATTAGCACTCCCAAATGAAGCAATTCATCCGCCGTCTCTCCCGCATCGCCGACGTCTCCGCCCAGTACAACCTCCTCTGCTCCTCGCCTCCACCTGAATCCTTCCGTGTCGCGGTTAAGAAGCAGGCGCCGCGCTCCGTCCCCCAGGGACACGTCCCGGTTTACGTCGGGGAAGAGATGGAGCGGTTCGTTGTCAACGCGGAGCTGCTCAACCACCCGGCTTTCGTCGGGTTGCTTAACAAGTCGGCTCAGGAGTACGGGTATGAGCAAAAAGGGGTGCTGCATATTCCCTGTCACCTCCTCGTTTTTGAAAGGGTTATGGAAGCATTGAGACTAGGGGTTGAATCACGTGACCTCCAGGATCTCCTTCCTTCTCCGACGATTTCTAGCCAGCAAAACATGAACAAACGAGGTCGTTTTGGCTCTCTTTGTTTTTCAAGTAAATATATATGTGATGTTAAAGGAAAATGGAAGAAATTCAGGGCTCTGTTAAGTGTGGCCCTTTAAATGTAAGGAGAACTGAAAAGAAATTGAGGATAAACTCCTTTTTTTTTTTGCCATATATTTTCTTTTTGATATTTCTCTCGTGTCAGATTTCTTTTTCTGTTTGGCAGTTAAGAAAATCACGCTTCAAAGGAATGTGAGAAAAGAGAAAAAAGTTTGAGATTCTGAGCCACAGCTTTCATTCATGTGTAAAGTTGATTCTAAAATGCTGCATTTTCTCTGTTTTTTTTCCAAAAGAAAGCTGAAAGTGAAAATTGAACCAACTTATTGAAATTTGGATTTCATTCTTAAATTTTCTCGACATCCAAACAAAAGGTGGGAAGAATGAGTGTGAGTCGGGGGCAGATCAATAATTTGGTGGGAAATTAGGTGGCTGTTTTTCTGCTTCCGATGTTAAAGGTAGCGGTGGGAGGGGTACTTCGGGAAGGTTTGAAAATTGTGATACAGGCATCACTAATGAAGTTGTTTAAATTGAGGTAGATTAAATAAGTTATCTATCTATATTATACTTAGAAAGTCGGATTAAATTTAATGCTATTGATTAATTAAATATTAATTTATTTATTAATTAAGCGTCTTCCATGATTAGAGTATCATTGTTTTTTTTTTAAATTTTGAGTTTAAATAATTAAATTATAAGGTGTGTATGTTATCAATAGTCAATAATTTTTTTTTAAAAAAATGCTACATCATAGTCACTGTAAAATATTGAAAAAAATTTCTGATTCATAAATAAAATATATATATTCTTATTTACTACTACATATAAAATTATTTGTTAAATAAGTTTTGATAAATATATTCTTATTTAAAATATTTTACTCAGAATAATGTGAGTGTTATAAAATTTAACATCTTACAAATAATTCAAGAAAATTTCAACTCATGTCATAATATTATTTTTTGCTTTAATGGCTATTTTCCATTTTTTCACTTTTAAAAGATCTAAAATGTGTATATATATACACTTATTGTTTGAGCATCGATTTAATTAATATTGTTGATAATGTAATATAGGGTAAATTACGTATTTAGTATCTAAATTATCAATTTTGATCCATTTTAGTATCTACATTTTTAAGTTTTCAAAACTATACCTAACTTTTAGTTTTTATTTCATTTTAGTACCCACCATTGAAAACTTAACGCATTTAGCACATAAACTATCAATTTTGGTCCGTTTTAGTATCTAAACTTAATAAAAAAATCAAAATTTAACGTTAAATTTTGAATGGGGTACTAAAATAAAACAAAAATTAAACTTTAGTTATGATTTTTAAAAAAATTAAAAATTTAGGCATTAAAACATATCAAAATTAATAGTTTCGGTACTAAACGCACAATTTACCATATAATATATAAGGATGTAAATTCGAGTATACTTAATAGACTTTAAATTAGAAGTTGGGCACCATCCCCTTCCCACCCATCCCTTCATTTTCCTTTCATTTTCCCCTTTTCAGTATCTTTCACCACCTCATGCACTGCCTTCGTCACCACCGTACTTAATAGAGTTATGCTACTATCGGTTAGACTAATAATATATCTAACTAAATGATTTAATATATTTATCCATTAATGGGTACATCAAATGTTCATGTTCGATTCGTGTTTGTTTAAATTTGCAGTCATGTTCGTGTTCTTTTTAATTTTTGAAAGCGTTTATGTTTGTTCGTTTAGCGTTCGTGAACATGTTTGTTTAATATTCACAAGCATATTCGTTAATGATAGTGAACATTTTAGTTTAACATTCATTTAATATTCGACAATCAACACTCTATCTTTACTCTTTTATTTGCAAGCAAAAAAGTGAAATTTACCACTAGTCCTTAAATTTCTTGATTTTCACAGTTTAAACTCCAAAATTTATGTTATGTTCAATTTAGTCCCTATCTTCATCAATATTATATATGTAAAAAAATAAAGGGAAAATGAGAATTGAGTAAATGAGCTTATAAACAAACCAATAAAAGAACTAATAAACTTGCGTGTTCTTGAACATAAACGAACCGAAAACGCCTCTGTTTGTGTTGGTTTGTTTATTAAATAAACATAAAAATTGTGTTGATGCTTGTTTGTTTAGCTTAATAAACCAACGGTTTACGAATTCGTGTTTGACACTATGGTGGTGTTTGTTTTTGAAGAGGTAAAAGGTCTGCAGTCTGCGGATCACATCTGCAGCAAAAGAGGTAGACCAAAAGTCTGCAGTCTGCAAGAAGAAGACTGTTTGTTTTTTAACGTCTGCAGACTGCTAAAATAAACTGATTTTTTAAACTTAAAAGAGTTTTGCAATACTGAAATTTAAATAATTTTAGTTTTATAATACTGAAATTTAAATAATACATACAACTACAATAATAAATTTTTTAAAAAAATCAATTCATATTTAAAAAAAATCAATCCATTTTAAAAAATCAATCCATATTTTAAATAAATCAATCCATATTTTAAAATAAAATTTTTCATATTTTTAAAAAAATCAATCCCTATTTTAAAATAAATCAATTCATATTTTAAAATAAATCAATCTATATTTTAAAATAATTGGTTCCATATTTTAAAATAATCAATCGATATTTTAAAATAAATTTTTCCATATTTTAAAATAAATCAATTCATATTTTAAAATAAAATTTTTCAAATTTTAAAATAAATCAATCCATATTTTAAAATAAATCAATCCATATTTTAAATAAATCAATCTATATTTAAAATAAATCAATCTATATTTTAAAATAAATTTTTCCATATTTTAAAATAAATCAATCTATAGTTGCAGTCTTCTAAAATATGTAGTTTGTTTTCACTGTTTAAAGTCTTCAAAGCTCTTATGTCTGCGTCGCGCAGACCACGCGTAGACATTGGACTTCGCAGACCGTTTGTTTTTTAGAAGACAGAAACTCTTCTAACGTCTGCGCGTGGTCTGCGCGGCGCAGACGTGGCCTTATGTCTGCAGAAATCTTCTAACCTCTTCAAAGAGGTTTTATATTTAATTTAATTTTATATTATATTATATTTGATTTTAATTTTAATATTAATTTTTAAATAAATTAAATATTAAATTTTATATTATATTTTAGATATTAATATTAATTTTTTAAATAATTAAATATTATTTCTTATATTATAGATATTTAATTTATATCATATAAATTATTTATATTATTAAAATTTTATATTTATTTTAATTATTTTGATTTAAGTTTAAATATAATTTTTTTGGGATTTGTATTTTAAAATTATATTTGAACTTTTATAGAAATGTAAGTATTTAAACACATTGCTTAATAAAAAATGATTTCATTGTTTGATAATTAAGATTTTAAAATATAAAAAAATTATAATATGTTTTTAAAATTTTAAAATAATCACAATTAAATAAAAAATAGTCATAACATAATTGATAAATAAAAAATATTTTCTAAAAATATCTAATTATAAAATAAATTATGAATATATTAAAAAAATTAAAAGTACATAATTGCATATTTAATAATAGTTAATGATAATTAATGTTTAAAAAAATAGATGTGATTCATTGATTAATAATAGTTTAATGATAATTAATGTTGTTGTGCCATATGATAATAAAATTCAAATTTAATATTATTATATAACTTTAGATAATAATGTTAAAAAATCATATAATTTAATGATTATTTATAAATTTTATTCTATAAAACTAATAATACATGTGATTATGTGAGACTTATAATAGAATTAATAAGGTGGTGTTTGTTTTTCTAAAAAAAGTATTATTGTAGTTGTATGAATTATTTAAATTTCAGTATTGTAAAACTAAAATTATTTAAATCTCAGTATTGCAAAACTCTTTTAAGTTTAAAAAATCAGTTTATTTATATTTCAGTTTATTTTAGCAGTCTGCAGACGTTAAAAACAAACAAGCTTCTTCTTGCAGACTGCAGACTTTTGGTCCACCTCTTCTGCTGCAGATGTAGTCCGCAGACTGCAGACCTTTTACCTCTGTAAAAACAAACACCACCTAAGCATACCCCTAATGTGGCTCACATTTCTTTGATGGAGAATTATTGTTTTAATATATAGTATATTGGCGGGTGAGGCAATTACAACATCAGATGAAGTCCTCTTCCCCGAATTGAGCTGCAAAATAAGGCATCATCTTAGGGAAAACGTGAAGAAAATAACCTCTAATTTTCTTATGCCATCAACTTGTATTATTTGGAACCAATCTCTCGTGTCAACATGGTTTAATCAAGCTCTCGTGTTCAGCTTGCTAAATGAAACCAAGAAAAAATATGTTAATATTTGTAGGAAACAAGAGACGTATATTTTTAAATTTTAACATGTCATTAATTTTGATTATATAAAATTTTAATATATATACATGTATCATATTTTTATATTTATATGATGCAATGAAATTGTGTTGAGAATCATAGATATAGACGTAAGATTATGAGTGGGGAGTAGGTTTGAGAGAAATCACAACTAAGAAGCTAGAGAGATACTCCAATTTTGTGTGTTTTTTTAAGACCCCAGTCCACAATGCTAATTGGCTAAGCTCAGATATCAACATTTTAACATTTTTAAAATATTTTTTAATTATTTCTCACCAATCTAAATCTATTGTTACTTCTTGAAATTAAATTTACATTAAAATAATGTTAAAATTCAGATTCACATACTATCATTCATACGAGAATAAAATAATCCAAATTGTCCTTATATATTTGTTTTTTAACAAGTTGAATTGTACTATAATATTACTATAAGATATTTATATATTTTCTTTCAAAAATTTAAATTCATAAAATTTATATAATTTTTTTTTACAAAATTGAAAATATAAAAAGGTTTAATGAAAGGGTAAAATTTTATTTTAACCCCTAAACTTCATATAAAATTTTAATTATAGACTTTTTCTGTAAATCTAAAATAGTTTAAGGATAAATTTGTAATTTAACCTTCGTAAAATTTTTATTATTCAATGACAGAAGAAGGATATTTTTGAAAAAAAAATT